TAACTTATAATCAGATCTTTTTCTTTTTCTTTTAAAGAAAGATTTTTGCTATAGGGCACATGTGCTTTCTGGAGGGACAGAGACAAAAAGTGAGGAATCACCCCCTGGGGTGGATGACCATGCCATAATTCCTTCTTCTCCATTCTCCTCTTAGGATTTTGGCACACATGTACATGTGCCTGGTGTGAGTTTCAAATCGCTGGGTCTGGCACTTGAATCATGGTCTACTAGTGGGATTCCAGAAATGTAACCATTATGCCATCTGCTGGTCCCACTTATAATCAAATCATGAAAAATACACTAAGAAATGTTCAAGACTACCTTTGTCCCATGGAAATATGATGGTTCCTATCGAGGGCCCCCCTGCCACGCCAGTCAACAGTACAGTGCCTGTTTTTCCTGCTTGCCAGTGTTGAGTAGTAGTATTATCCATCTTTGTAATCTTTGCAAATCTGATGGATAAAAATAGGTCTATTATGTTCTTTTGTGTTTTTCTTATTAATGAAGTTGAGAAACTTTATTCTTCTGTGATTATTGATCATTGTCTGTCTTTGTTTACAGATAGACTATTCATACCATTTGTTCATTTATCTGTTCTTTTGGAGAGTTTCCCCCTTCTGCATCCCCTGCTATAGGACACCTGTGCTCGCCAAAGGACAGAGACAGAGTGATGAAGTGAGAAATCACTCCCCCCCCCCTTCCCGGAGAATGGACACATGGCAATCTCTTCTCCTCCATTCTCCTCTCGAGATCTTGGACACCACACACACACACACACACACACACACACACACACACACACACGTGCACGCATGCACATACTCCTGGCATGCATCATAAGTTGCCAGGTCTGTCTGGAATTTGAACTGTGGTCAACTACATGAGAGTGAAGCATGTAACCATTATGTCATCTTCTGGTCCTGTCATTTATCTTTTTAAAAGCAGTTTTAGAGTTCTTCATGTTAAGTTCTTTAAGCTGTGTGTTTATAGGTAAAGCATTTTTGCTGACCACCGTTTAACTTTGTGGATTATTTACTGTGTAGAAGCTTAAAATATATTTTGGACAAATCTGTCAATTTAACTTTTTTGAGACACTAAGATATAAATATGTTCTATCATCTAGACTATTTATGTTATATTTTTAATATTTAAACTTCTAATTGACCCAGCATGTGTTTTTATACATTATATGCAATAGAAGTCTATTTTATTAATTTTCCAAAAATCCAACTGCTTATTCTATCATTCTTTATTGAACAATGGAGAGCGTTTAGTTCTTCCATGAGAGAGAGAGAGACAGAGAGAGACAGAGAGGAGGAAAGTGAGAAATCACTTTCCTGGGGAATGGACACATGGCAATCTCTTCTCCTCCATTCTCCTCTCGAGATCTTGGACACCACACACACACACACACACACACACACACACACACACACACACGTGCACGCATGCACATACTCCTGGCATGCATCATAAGTTGCCAGGTCTGTCTGGAATTTGAACTGTGGTCAACTACATGAGAGTGAAGCATGTAACCATTATGTCATCTTCTGGTCCTGTCATTTATCTTTTTAAAAGCAGTTTTAGAGTTCTTCATGTTAAGTTCTTTAAGCTGTGTGTTTATAGGTAAAGCATTTTTGCTGACCACCGTTTAACTTTGTGGATTATTTACTGTGTAGAAGCTTAAAATATATTTTGGACAAATCTGTCAATTTAACTTTTTTGAGACACTAAGATATAAATATGTTCTATCATCTAGACTATTTATGTTATATTTTTAATATTTAAACTTCTAATTGACCCAGCATGTGTTTTTATACATTATATGCAATAGAAGTCTATTTTATTAATTTTCCAAAAATCCAACTGCTTATTCTATCATTCTTTATTGAACAATGGAGTCTTTACTCCATTGATTTAAAATGCTAACTTCACCTTATTTTAAAATTTCCATGATAAATGATTTTATTATATTAGCCTAGTTTTATATCAGATATATATAAAATATATATACATATGTATATTTTATACTTCATTGATTTACAGTTTATTATAATGTCTGGAAGGGTAAATTTTCAAGTTTCAAAAATCAAAATTATTATAATCTCATTAATTCCATTGAGTGATTTGACATTTTTAGAAGACTGGGCTTTCTCATCCAGAAATATGTGTTCCTGTTTATTACAATTTTCTTTTATGTCCCATAGTGTAGCAAAGTCTTGCACATTTCACATTCATTTTGTAGTTAGGCATTCAGTAGTTTCTTCTGCAATTGTAAATGTGATTTTAAAGATTTTAGAATATAAAAATAACTTAAAATGTTCTTAATGACTCAAAAAACATCCCAGGATGTTTTTTGAGCCACTAAGAGCATTTTAAGTAATTTTTATATTCTAAAATCTTAAACTTCATTATATAGCTGCTACTTGGATTATCTACATAGGTTTTGCTAAAGCCGTGCAGCATATTCCTGGTATGTCAAGACACCAGGCCAAGTACTTGAGCTATGTAGTCAGCCATTGGGATCTAACAGCTTTAACCACCATACTCCTGACTGGCCCAGATATTTTCATATATTGATATTTCATCCAAAACACCATATAGTGATATCTTCAAAGCGGAAGCAGAGATTAGAATCCAGCTATTTTTTTTTTAATTTAGCTTTTTAAATTTATTCATTTACTTATTTTAATTTTACCAGAGAGGAAGACACATACACACACACACACACACACACACACATACAGACACACAGAAGGAAAGTGAGAAAGTAAGCCATCAGGTCTGGGACTTGAACCGTGGTCTGCCATGGGGGAGTTCAGCACCCTTAAGCTCCCTGACACCTACTGCCCCCAAATCCAGCTATCTTTAAGCCAGGTAGTAAAGATACTTGAAACAGTGTAAAATAAGTGCTACTCTTCTTATATATATATTATTTTGGGAGGTATTCTCTAAAATGAAATATTCTATTTAGGTTAAAATGTTATGAGTTTATTACAAAACTATTTATTAAATATTCCTAAATGGGAAAAAATACAAAAATAAGAACTCTTTTGTGTTCTCAATAATTTTTAGAAATACAAGGTAGTCAAAACCTTTGGGTTTAGAGGTAGTACTGTAGCAGTAGGACAACCGTAGACAGAGTATAGTAAGTCGCCTAAGTGCCTCTGTCGTTGTTTTTTGCGGTCTACCATCTCTCTGGTGTTCAGACTCAGGATATTTTATTGATCTGTCTTCAAGTCCAGTGATTCTATATTCTATCATCTCTCCTTTACTACTGAGCCCATCTGGCAATATTTTTTATCATGTTATTGTATTTTTCTGTTCTATAATTCCCACTTGGATTCATTTTGGTTCAACTCATTTGGTTCATTTTAATAACTTCCATTATTTTCTAAGATTTTTAATTTTTTCACTTGTTTTGAGAGACTTATAAGTGATGCTTGCAGTATTTTCTGGTATTTCCTCCAAAATCTTCGTCAGATGATTCCAACATCTGATTCATCTTCGTATTGGTGTTTGCTGCTTGTCTTCTGGTTCTTGCTATGATGGGTGGTCTGTTGTTTGTTGTATATTGGATATTTTTTTTTTTTTATGATTGTCTTTTCCTGGTGTTGGAATGATGGGTAATTTGCTTTTCAGTGTCTGGGCATATAGGTTATTATGTTAGGAGATTCCTGAGCCTCTCTAAATCTTCTATTTTAGCAGGCATTACCCTGTTTAGATTTACCATATAGATCTGGTCTACTTTTGTCAGCATTAGTTCTGATGACAGTTTACCTTCATGAGTTCTCGCAATGCTATTCTGATCTGCTTTGGTTTTCTGATGCTGCTAAGGCTCCTGCTTACTCCTTTCTGGTTCCCTGGGTTCAGGGCAAAAGATACTTTCTTGATTTTCTTGCTGCCACTGGGTAACCTTCTGGAGTGGCTAAGCTGCTGGTTGGATGGCGAGGACAGAGGGGGCTTTGTTAATGCCACCTCTGTGTCTGGCTGTGAAGTGGTGTCTGCAGCAGCCCAGGACTTCACCTTTTCTCCTTTTGTAGGTGGGTGGGACAATCTACCAGTGGCTAGTTGTGGAGTGGGATCCGGTCAGTCTTGACTTTACTGGTGCTGTTGCAGGTAGACCACATAACCCACAGGGCCCTGGCTGTGGAGCATGGCCGAGAAGGTGTGGGGCTCTCAGACCAATGGACTCAGTGTACTTGATGGGACTGGGAGAACCTGATGGGTTTCCACTGTTTGATTTCACTCTCTACAGGGTCCCAGATGTAGGGCAAGGCTTAGGACACCCCACTACTTTTCTGTTTGGCTTTCCTTTTCCTGGTCTTTTGATCAAAAACAAAATAATAATAATAATTTTTTTTTGTTTATACCTTTTACTGGTCTTAAGCTGTAGGCCCCTTGGGCCTACTTGAGGGGTATATGGGAGATTAAAAACATACAGGAACTTGACACATTCTTATTCCTCAGGTCCTAAGGTCTTCAGCCATTTTACTTTCTTCTATACAATTGTCAATTATTTTTATTCTTTTCTGTTGAATAATTTCAAGGGTATTTAGAATGAAAAACCTGGAAAAGGTTAGTCTACATAACCTTGTTTTGGAACTAGAAATCACTACATATTTTTTGTGATTAAAATTAAAATGTATATATTTATTTGGAGAGATTTTTTGCTATAGAATTGTGTATGCTTGCTGGAGAAACATAGAGACAGAAAGCAAGAAATCACACCCCGGGGGGGCGGATGGCCATGCCACAGTCTCTTCTCCTCCATTCTCTTCTCGGGATTTTGGGCATGCATGTACATGAACTTGGTGTGAATTATAAGCCACTGGTCTGGGATTTGAACCACAGTCGACAGTGATAGTCTAGTGACATAACCATTATGCTAGCTACTGGTCCTGAAAATTAAAAATTTAGAAAGTAAAAATGAAAAAGAAAGTCAAAGTAGATTAATTCTTGTGTTGGCTGTCATAAATGTCTTATGTTTATTTTTGTAGGAATTATGTTGGAATATGAAAAAAGTGGAGAATTAAAGACCAAATCCATAGATTTACTTGATCTTGCTCCCAGGTAAGTTAAGTAGGTACCATGACAGGTTTCATTTCCAGCATTTTTGCTGGGGAAACCCTGCCAGAGGGTACTGTGTTACTGAGGTTCACTAACAACAGGCAATACATTATTTCTGTGGCATGTTATTTCTTGTTTGTTTCAATGGGTTATGCTTGAGGGTCTTGCTGAATGAAGAGGAAGATGTGGAAAAAAAGGATCAAGAGTCCAATAGTCTATTTTTTTCTTCCTATGCAGGCTTTATTATTTATTTATTTATTTTTAAAAATCCTTTTAGTTTAAAATAGTTTTAGAAAAATTGTGAAGACTGATATCCTATAAACTGTATACCTAGTTTCCCTCATAGTAATACTTTAAGATAGTCTAGTAGATTTTTCACAATTAACAAATCAGTATTAGTACATTATTACTAACTACAGTCATTTTCCCCTATTTCCCCCACTCTGTTTTTTATTAAAAGAATTAATATTATTATTATTTTTGAGAGGTTTTTGCTATAGGGCGTGTGCGCTTGCCAGACAGACAGAGAGAGACAGAGAGACAGAAAGCGAGAAATCATCCCCCAAGGGGGATGGCCATGGCTGAGTCCCTTCTCCGTTCTTCTCTTGGGATCTTGGGCATGCACGCACACGCGCCTGGCGTGAGTTTTAAGCCACCAGGTCCGGGACGCAAACTGTGGACGACTACATGGGAGTCCAGCAACATAGCCATTACGCTAACTGCTGGTCCCAAGAATTATTTTATTTGATTTTATTTCCTTATTTTAATTTGACCAGTGAAGGACAGAGTGAAAGTGAGAAAGCAAGCCATCAAGCCATGGGTTGGAACCATGGTCAACCATGTGGGAGTCCCTGGCCCTTGACCACCCACCACCTGCTGCCCCCCACCCCCCCCCCCCATTCCCCTTTTATGTTCCAAGGTCCCATTAGGATCCCTCATTGCAATTAGTCATCATGGCTCCTGAGGTTCATGCTGGCTGTGACGCTTCTCAGACTGACATATTTCTGGTGACCTTCACATTTTTGAGATGTACTGGTGATTTGGTTTCAAGACTATTACTGAACATGAATAATAATGGAATTAGAAAAGAGAAAACATAACTGAGTCCATTAAATAAATATTTCCTAGAGTTTACTGCATACATTCCTCCTCATTGATTGTCATAGGGCAGAACCAGGAGATCTATCTCACCTCTGTCTCTGCAGCTGTGTGAGCCCAGAGGAAATCCTCAGGAGGTCATATTGCCCAGAACTCATTCCCATTAGGAAATCTCTTGCAAAATTCTTCGTCAAGAGATCGAGTCTGGTTAATGATTAAACCTAATCAAATTCAAATAATGTAAAAATAATCTCAGTGAATGAGCATAAAAGAGAACAAAAAATACAGTTTTTTTTTTCATTAGGGAGATTTTTGTCATAGGGTGTGTGCACTCATTAGAGAAATAGACAGAAAGTGAGAAATTACCCCCTGGGGGTATGGCCACTCCATAATCCCTTCTCCTCCATTTTCCTCTTGGGATTTTGGAAACATGCACATATGCGTGATGTGAATTTCAAGCCTCTGGGTAGGGACTCAAACTGTAGTTGGCTATGTGGGAGTCCAGCGATATAACCATTACGCCATCTGCTGGTGCCAAAATATTGTGTTTTAGAGTTGTGACCTGGGGCTCTCCACGTAAGAAACATTTCATATGGGCAGATGGGCTGTTCCCGAGTTTTGTAATTAGTAACATGAGAAAGTAAATATTTTAAAGTATTTTTTTTCAGTATGGATTTTATTTCTAGTTCTTCTAAAAAATCTAGAGCTATTTTGCATATAAAACATTTGCATTACAGGTGACATACTAAAGTTATGGCATGCAAAAAAAAAAAAAAATCACAGGTAGAATACTACAGAGTCGAGGTGTCCAGATTGAGTATCTAGTTAATTTGGATCTTGTTAGAATATGTTTTAATTCATATCATTTGTTGATAACCTTTCCAAGAGGCATTATTATTCTTTTAATTCTTAAGAAAGTGTAACTCTTTGGCCAAGTGAATATTTCCGAGTTTATCCAAGTCATTGCTATAAATGGTCTCTGATTCATTTGTGCTCAAAATATTCACCCCCCATGTAAGATGCTGCATTTCTCCAGAACTGGGATGGTATTTTCCACATCCCCAGGGCTTAACCTGTAAGTAGGTACTCAATAAGGTAAACCAATGACCAGTCTCCCAACGCAGTGCCTTGCACACACCTGGAGCCCAAGACATGCTTGTTTGTGAGGAGAGGAGGGGGATGCTTATCAGATGTTGCATTTCTTGGAAGTGGATGTAGTGTTGGCTGGATGCAAGGTTTATTGTAAAGTGACGTTTGTGATAGACCAGAGCAGGAAGAAAATTTGACAGGAAGAGCCATCTGACCAGGATGATGCAAAGTGGACAACACTGTTTCTGCCAGTCCAAAGGGAGCTGGGGGTGGGGGCAAAGCTTGCCAGCCAGAGGAGTCCTTCCCCAGAGGAAATGGCCAGGCCCTTGCACCAGCCCCTTGCTCAGCCATGGTCTGAGGGGTACCCAGAGTGCCTGCCCTGGCCTCCCCTGCCAAAGTGGGTCCTGGAGGAGCTGCGGCTGGAAGCCATCAGCTAGCTAAACTGCTCCTCCACAGCCCAGTCGGGAATCCTTCCTTGATGGGAGACCAGCACAGTGCATCTTTCAGATACATTGTGACATAATCTGCAGAAAAGCTATCCGGAAGCTTTGTGTTACATAGGTGTTCACGCATTTTTTTTTGAACTAATATTATTCTGGATTAGCAAAATTTGCCAGCATTTCTATGGATTCTGTAAATACTAAGAAAAACTTGAATCTATTTTTACAATTTTTTCAAAGCAGTTTTATCAGGAAAATAATATTATAGTCCATAAGAAGTATTAATAATAATAATTATGATCAGTTTTTAAATGATAGAATGTGTGTGTGCGCCAGAGGGAGAGAACACCCTGGGCAGCAGGATCTTTTCATGCTATGATCCTTTCTTTAAAAAAAAAATTGGCAGAGAGTGCGCACACTCCCTAGAGAGAGAGAGAGAGAGAGAGAGAGAGAGAGAGAGAGAGAGAACACTTCATAATGGGCGTGGTCACGCTGCAATCCCTTCTCCTCCATTTCTTCATCTGTTGGGATTTTGGGCATCCACGCACATGTGCCTAGCATGCTTTGCAGGGCACTGCGGCCAGGATTCAAGCCTCAGTTGATTCAAGTGCAAGCTTCTGATGCACAATGCTTAACCGCTGTGCCATGGGACCAGCTCACAATCCTCTTTTCCCAGTCCTCCAGTTCCTTAGGATCTTAGATGCCCACACGTGCACTTTGCATGTTTTCAGGCTGACCTGATGATCCACACCCATAGTCAGCCATGTGGCTTCCAGCACTGTAGTCCAGTGTGCTACAGACTGCACCACCTTGGCTGGGCCTATAGTGTTGGAAATACTCAGTTATGGG